AATTCTATGAATCAATAGGATTTAAATAAAAAAGTTTTATCGAATTTGATTTTATGGTTATCGAGATACTTTCGCTCAAAGTTTTGAAAATTCTTAGGTATATGATCATGTGATGGGTCACTTTGACCCGGGTCAAAATAGAATTGGCCTAATAATAATTAACTACAATATCCGTCATATTAAAATTATTATCTAAATAATTCCCAAACGAATATTCATTCGTAAAGAGAATATACATAATATATATGAATAGAAATAATTATCAATTATTTATTTGTCTTTCGGGTTTTTGTTCGTTTAGTTACTTTTGTTCCATTATTGCCTTCACTACCATCATTTTTTGATTTGCCTTTATTATCGGCATATTCATCATTAGGTGCTGGTGCGTCAGTCTTTTTGTGTGATGTAGAAGCCTTTTAAATAAGAAGAAAAATCAGCACAAGTTCTCTATACAATTATTATTGTTATTAAATTCTATTCTTATTACCTTTTTTGATGGATATAATAGTATGACGATCAGACTTCCAGTTTTCTTTGAAAGTTTCCGTACGATCTATGTTTTTGTATGGTCTCAACAATGTACTAGAGTCTAAACGAATGACACGGTTTAATAAATGGGTTGAGTCAATAGGAATCAAGCAAATTTTTATAATAATATTAAATTTGATTAAGTATTTGTTAGTTATTCTTGTTTAAAATTTAAAAACACTTTAAAAAATAAAAAATATTTGCTTGGTTTCTATTGACTCAACCCAAATATTTTAAATGATAAAATCATTGTTGGTTATATATCTTATACAGTATATACCTCACTCTGGTTCTGGAAAAATTATACAGCTTCTGTTGCCTTTTTAATCTTATATTTTATACCCCATATCTCTTTGGCAAACTCTCGTGCATCTTCCTCAGAATAGCGTTATCAAACAAATATTACTTGCATTATCCAGAGTTCAACCCAATAGCATCATATTTAAGAATCCTTTTTTTTAGAGACAAAATATAAAATTATGAATGTTAAAGATGATAATAAATTATTCAACTTACGATCTTTTCAAATTTAGAAGGAGTCAAGTCTTCAAAGAAATCAGGATTTGGAATTTTACGAGGTGCTTATATTTTGATTGTCAATCTACCATTTCCTTTATACTGTAGTTAGTATTGCGCTTGTTTGAACGTTTCAATTCACTACAACCAGGTGTTTCTCACATTTTGGATTAGGTACACCAGGAGGATCCAGTCACCATCTCCGTCATCCCAATCAGCAGGTTTTTTTGGTTTCTGATCTAGAATGTTTAAAGGCTCATCATCAAGCCATCCTTCTGTTTTTTGGCATCCTCATCGGGATTTTCACATGGTGCATCCTATCCATATTATTCAATAATTCGTCAACTTAATTGTCTATCCAGAAAAATTGATCAATAATACTTAAAAAAATACACTTACCAATTATCTGACTCTTTGGCATCTTTTATGTAGAACATTTAATATTTGCATAAATTTTGAATCATTTATTAATACATACTAGAACCCAATCATCTGATTATATATATATATATATGTCGTGTAACAGTTTAATTAAAAAACAATGATGATACGATAATGTTCTAAAAGAATTTAATCTGTTTTATAAATTATTAATTAATCAAATACATGCCATTAGGGCTATCAATTTCTCTCGGTGGATTAATAGGTAGTGTAAAATTATTTAAAAGGTCTCCACTCTTTACTGTTTCAAATTAACACGAGTTTCGAACGTATTATCAGGCCTAAATTATGCAAATTTTAATTACTAAAATTTTTTTCTCAGTGCCGTTCAATCTTTTAAGGTTTATTATTACATACACGCATTGCCTTGAATTATATGCATGAACTTCATCTAAACTTTAAAAAACAAACTATTAACTTTTTTTATAACGTATTTCTCACCTACTAAATATATACACAAGTTAAGAATTTGGTAATTTAAAATCACAATGATACGTATTTAAAGTTAGCAAATGTATTAATAGTTATTTTTCATGTAAATTAAATATGCTGATCATTATTTTTATACATAATCCTTATTAACAATACCAAAAAAAAAATAAAAAAAAATACTATGTATAGTCTTACTATGTATAGTCACAAAGTTGTAAAGAAATAGATCATTGTAGGCATTTCAAAGAAATGATAATTTTTATAAATAAAATATATAAAAGATAATAAAAATTGTTTAAGCGGAATCAATCATATTACTAAACAAGATGAAATTTACTATATACCTGTTTGTGAATACATTTTGTCTACTAATTCAATTATCGAAGGGAGCTCTTACAGGTTGGCCAAATGTTGATGTTCCGCCACCTGAAAGACCCGATTTCACTGCTCTTATAGATCCGAATAAAGTTTCAAACGCATCTGTTATGTCATTAGCTGATATAAAAACTCTTAATTGCCCAAGTACGGATACGTATTGTCATTGGACTTGTACTAGATGTGTTCGAAGTGAATCTGACATCGTATATTGTCCAAATCCAAATGGTAAGTATGGAATTTGTTATATTATATGGATTTGATTTTATCTAATGTTACATATTTTTTTCCCTTCAGATTGGGGACTCTCTTTTGATGATGGACCGAGGTAAATTTAAATTTATATGTATATTGTTATTGCAAATGTAATATAAATAACGTTCTTAAGTAAATTTAATTTTATTTTCTTCAGTCAGTACACAGTATCTCTTCTTGACTTTCTCGATTCAAAAAAGATTAAAGCTACTTTCTTCATTATTGGTTCTCAAGTAGTCCAATATCCTGAAATTTTGCAGAGAATTGCTAATGATGGTAAAAAATTTTTCAATCTTTTTATTACTAGTAATTATTTTCTCGACATGTATATTTCCATGACAGCGATGTTTATACTTCACCGACAATGCAAAATATTAGCAAAATTGTTACTTTTAAAGACTTCACAAAATAGATTGTCTAAGGTATTGAGGTATAAACTAAGCTGTCAGTATGTCAGGAAAATGTTTGAATTGAAGAAATTGATATTGAAATTTAAAAGTCACTGAAAATTAATATTACAAAACTTTTATCTTATTCATCTTATCCAATACATAAAAATATATGTTAATTTGCAAAGGGCACCAAATTGGTGTACATACTTGGTCACACCCGTATCTCACTAGTCAAACCACGGAACAAGTCATTTCCGAATTACAATGGACCGCTGAAATCATAAAAAATGTAACTGGTGTTACACCTAAATACATGCGTCCTCCATACGGTGACTATGATGATCGTATACGAGATATATGCAAACAGCTTGGATATAAAATTGTATTGTGGGATAAAAATACAAATGATTGGCTTTCAGCCAGTGATGCATCTTTTCAAATGTCATGGGTTGAAAGTAACTTTACCGAATGGGTAGGCCATAAAAATTCTACTGGTCATATTTCCCTTGAGCTTGATAAGTATTCTTCTCAAGGTCAATTAGTAGTTCCCATTCTTCAAAATTCGTCATATAATATTAAACCAATTGCTGATTGTCTGGGTTATTCTGGTAATTTTTATAAAGAAAATGGTTCGACACCTAATACTACTTCTACTTCTACACCAGCGATAGCTAATCTTCCACAACCAAGTCATCCATCTGATGGTACTACATTTGGAAGTTTCAATTTTACAAAAGCTTCTTCAGCTGTAAAGAATAACTTTTATTATAATAATTCATGGCCTTTTATCATGATTGCTATATTGATAGCTTATATTTCTTTTAATACTTTGAATTGATTGAACAATCATTTTGTATTATTTAAATTTTTATCTAAATCGTATCTAATTTATTATGATTTATTAGATACTGTATTAGTTAAGATTTTTTTTTATAAATATATATAGAGCAATATGTATGTAAAGTCCAATTAAACGCAGAAATTGTACACACCACTTTATTTGCCATTAAACCATATTCTTTGTTGTACTCCATTCCTGATATATATGTTGTACGTTGTTCTTAAATAACCGTTAATTCAAAATTAACGTACGTACCTGAATTTAAAATTTATACCGATTAAAATGTAACATACATAGTTTTAAAATTATACTGATTAATATGTAACATACGTACGTACGTCAATTAAACACAAGTTTAATAAGAGTTTAATAAATTAGATTGATTATAAAAAAAAAAACATTCTTTGTTATTTTATCTTCCATAATATGACTTCAAATTCTTTGCTAGTTTTTTCGTTTCTTTTATTTTAAAGCTTTCAAATAATCGTTGATTACATGAACAATAGAAAAACGAAAGACATATAATGAATCGTTCAAAGTATGATCGTTGCCTGGCTATTTTACAAAACCCGCTGTGAGACCGGAAACGTGACATGACGGCAGGCACGTGCCTTCGTGACCCGGGAACTCCAAATTAGGGT